CCCCCCCCCCCACTCCCCTCCTTCTTCATTCTGATAACGAAGCAGTCAAGATGAATGTCGAGATTTGTAGTTGTTGAGAGACAAAGAGTGAGAAAGAATGTTTAGCATTAACACTGTTAAACAACTAGCAAAAAAAAAAAATTTATATATTCGTATCTTTTTCTCTTTGCAAAACTTTTGACGGTTTCCTGTTTTGAAGCTGAAAAAAAAAAGGCAGGAAAGAATAAAGAAATGGGAAAAAAAATTACGATGAATATTCGCCGTCGGTTTTTTCGCTACTTTTTGGGCTCATACATAGCTCCGGTGATTCTGGAAACTTCGAGCAGTTCAACGATTCCGGCCAATCAATGCTGTAATTGTTCAGCACTCCAGAGCAATCTCTTCGGACCTGTAGAATTATAGGAAAATAATCAGTTTTTCCTCCTCATCTTCGCCGATGGCTATAGTAATTGATCATCTATCAAATACAGATGAACCCCGCAGAAACAACAAAAGGACGATGTCTATTTTCAGTTGGCAGGGGAAGGGGTGAGGAAAAGAGGACTGGATGAAGGGTAAGAGAGTTCCGTTTTGCTCGATGTTAATGAAAACCAAAGAGGAGCAAAAAAGACAAAGAAATAGCAATAAAGACAGCTAAAAATATGTTAAAGGCGTAAAAAAAATCAATTAGTTTTAAAAAAAAATAAAATAAAAATAGGACAAAACATTCATTACCATAGTTCCATTTCTTTTACTAAACAGTGATAATTTTTGACATTTTTAAAAAATGATAATAAATAAGATATAAAAATATTTCTATTATTTTTTACCATATGGTTTCTTTGTTGACGATAAACACTGTCAACTATAAACAGCAAATTTTTTTTTCAACTCTCATCCTTTTCGTTTCCTCTTCTTTTCCACCAAATAAAAACTGGCTAAATTCCACAATCTTCTTTTTTTTTTTCTCTTTGCTGTTAATACAACAGCAATGAAAAGTTTTGAAGAAAAGCAATTTTAACTGTTAAACAGACGATGATAAAAAATCTTTTTCTTCATCAATTTATTTGATAAATTAACATCGATACCCTTCTACAACGCTAATACATGAATGTTTTTTCTTATCCTTTACCATAGTGATCATCCAAATATTAATTGAGAAAATTTTTAACACACTTTTCCTTACATGTCGTTTTTTCTTCTCATAACTCAATTTTGTTTCTTTCTTTTTTTCTGGAACTTATTGCTACTACTATAATCACCATATAAAACTAATGTTATTTTAACGACAAAAAAATACTTGTTGAAAATAAATTGAAATACAGCTGATGCCAACCAAATAGTGGGATGACCTATAAAAACACGCGAACCTTGCAGTACATATCTAAATGTTCTCAGCTAATTGCATTTAGTTTTCAGCCCAGAAATTAGGCAGCCATAATACCCAATATGTGTATTTCTTCTCATCATCATACTACAATGTTGTCTGCAACACCACAAATACAGCTGCTCCATACTGTCCCGGGTAAAGGGTTTCAGTTTTTGGCGATATTTAAAATACCACTGGCTAACGCTCTCTTTCCACCTGTCCCATCCCACTCCCTTTACAAGCCCCATTTGTCTGTGCACTCCGGAATAAACAGTGAAAAAAAAAAAAGCCAAAAAGCAAAATGCGATACCTCTTCGCACAATGACCTGCAGCTTGTCACAGCCCTTGGCATCTGTTCTGGACACATTGGTGCGAAAACGCTACAGACAAAAAATTTCAAATGTGGATGGCAGGCCATCCTAAGTAGTGGTTTAAAGTGGTCCGCCTGTGTTTTGAGCTGAAATTATACGAAAGAAACTAAGCAGACTAAGCACTTCTCTGGTAAAACCAGTGACACAGGCAGTAATGATAGACGCAGCAAATATTATGGCTATTCCAGTTTCCAAAAAAGCTCTTTTTTTTTTTAATTCCAGTTGCGTACTAAATGACTTACGCTCTGTAAATCAGCTTGAACGATTGGATTTGGGAAAAACGTATATTTATAACGACTGTCTGCACATAACGGAATTTGGATTGGCTCGCACCGTTTTTGACTTGTCTAAAGATGATGATTTTTCCTCAATGACCGCATCAATTATTAATATAAGAATGTATTTCTGAGGAGAACAAAAAAGGAGTACTGAAAAGGCTGACAACAACAATTCAGCCTCTTGTTTTTACTGCTACTGATCCACTTTAAATGCATAGAAAGTTCAAATGATTGTTTACAAAGAAAGGACCACAGGCAAGAATGAGGAAGTGAAACAAAAGATACAAAGAAAATATCGACCAGATATCACAAATTCAAAAGAAAAGTTCAAATAAAAGTGCCAAAATGAATGTTGATAAGACAGATAATTTTGTAAACAACATAAGGGAAAGAAAGTAACAGTCACACTTTATCTTGTTAGAGTTTTTTGATAGGGCAGAAAAAAAGACATCAAAAAATCTTCCGAAATTGAAAATGTACAGTTCATCCAACTCAATATTCATTTAAACACCCGAAAAGGTTCATAAAGCAGCTTAAGAATGAAACAATAATTTGATACAAAAAAAAAACAGTTTTCATCTTTCTTCTCATTTCCAACGAAAAGTTAAAAACATACCTGATCGAAAATTGACGCTGAGCATTGATGAATCAAAATAACCAGCAGAAAGGCCACAAGTTTTAGTAATATCACCACCCTTAACCTAGTCATGGCGTTCAATCTGACCTGAATTTGATTTCAGGAGTAACTGAGCCACACTGCTCAAAGATTCAAGAGCCAGAGCCAAGCAGACGAAATAAATAAAGCCGAAAGTCGACAGAGACTGTTTGGTTCCCCTTACAAAATTTTGTCTTTTCTCAAAGAAAAAAAACGTCCCTTCGCTTCTTTTTTTTCTTTTTTTTTTTGCCTGTTTTCTTCCACTTCTGTTGCTCTTTCCTTCAATTCTGTACCAATTATTGAAACACAGTGCCGACGGTGGTAATGGCGCTAAGAGAACGGACGAGAACGAGAGCAGAATGTGACTGAGAAGAGGGGAAGGAGAGGGGAGGATGTGTGATGACTTCTCAGCTCAGTTGGGTATAGACCATTGAGAATGAAAAATGAAAGAAAATTTGCTCAGTTGAGGCAAACAGGCTCCGCCTTTACACCAGCAGCCCCCTCCCCTCCCCTTGAACACCAAAAAGGCCAATATATTATCCAACACCAAATTTATTACCCAACATTCTGCCATTGTATGCTCACCGTATTCTTTCTTCTCCTATTCTTTCCTCCCTTTCTCCTTTTCACCAGAAGAAAAAGAAAGCAAAAAAAAGAAGCAGCAACAGCAGCGCTGTCCCACTTCGAATCCACTCTTAGTCCAGTTAGCCACCAAATAAATATATATATATATTTATATACATATATATATATATATATATATATATATAT